ACTAATATGTGAAATGTAAAATTATTCACAGCTCTAACAAACTTGATTTATTTTACAATTAAAGCATAAAATAGCTCTGTTACATCATTTATAATAACAATTGATAATTTAAAACGAATAAATTTACCTATTTACTTATTTTTTGCTTAAAAGTTAATAGTAAAATTTCATTGAAGTGCAAGGTATTAGTATGGCCACAACGAAATTGTGTACATGCAAAATGGACAACAGCGTTGTTCTGTGTACATGCCGGCCATTGTTATGTTCAGGAACTCTCTGGTTATGTTGCTGCCCTCTCATAAACGTTTACATAGTGGGATTCACAACGCCATTTTCAGTTCACTGTCGTGCTGCTGCAGTCTGTCGCGAGCATTGTGTTCCGCACATTACTTGTTCCTTGTGTCATTAAACGAATGGAGATTTTGTGTGTAACGTGCGGTGCTTCTACCAATAAATATAAGTGTCCAAAATGTTTAGAAGCATAGTAAGATTAAATATTTTGCTCACAAATATCTTTATCTACATATGTATAAGTATTTTCTTCCGTTTTTTAAATCAAAGTTGCTCGCTTCCCTGTTACAAAGAACACCAAAAAGTACTATGTCAGCGATCTCAAAAAACAGATGATAAATTCGTTGAAGACATACGGCATAAGGAACCCACTCTGCATGAACCTTTCAGTACTGAAGACACTGTACCACGTAATAAACTGGAACTTTTAAGTAACACATTCGAAGCAACTATAATGTTTGGATTTATTAATACAAATTTTATTTATTACAATAGAGGACTGTAAGCCATTAGAGAACTTGCTTCATAATTTACACCTGCGAAAATTACTTTCTGAAATAGATGTTGCTCCTAATGCTTGGAAAGCTATGAAAGCAGCAATGCAAGAACCACTTTTTTTAGAATTCGCTGATGAATGCTTGAAAATTGTTGAACCACACAATGCACTTGATTAAGAAATATATTACCTTTTACTTACATTAAAGATGTACTTAATTTAACAATTTTTTTAGATTTATTCATTATAAGTCATCATAATTCCGAATGAATTTTTGTCTTTCTTGCCAGTGTATAACGTAATCGAATAGTTCCAAAGGCGGCTCGCATTGGTCTAATTCAACAGCCAAGCCAAAGTATCGTTGACGAAGTAAATGCGCGGCCGATTTTGGCTGGCGTTGACGTGTAAATACTCCTTTCTTATTCCCTCCAACGCGTGTGTATGCTAAAAATGTAAATCCATTTCAACAATATACTTATATATAAATTCAATATTTCTCACATACTTTGTGCAGTTTTGAAATCAGCAAAATTCCATACAAATTCTCCAATAAACCACTTTTGAGATCTTATGTTGTCGAACGCTTTGAAGTGCTTGCTGAGTAGTGAAAGCTGGTAATCCTCCGACCATATATATGCTGGAAGCTGATAGCATTTAAAATCGAAAGTTTTTAAATATATTATTCTTACTAAATTTAATTAAATTTGAGTTATCTTATTCTTAACTTACAAAATGCAATCCTTCATAAGTATCTGCCCCATATTCTGTCATTATAACAGTTTTATTGTGCATTACATGCCACAGTGTTGCTTCCTCCACTACATGTTTAGTAATCATATCCAATTGTCCGGCGTTTTGGTACCATGCGTTATATCTATTAAAACTTATTATATCCAAATATTGTCCCTATTTTCGAATCATCGTTTATTACTTTAGAATCAAGGGATTAATACAAATTTTACCAATTTGTCTTTTTTGGCCTCTATATTTAAAGCGGCCGTGATGGGTCTCGTAGGATCCAATGACTTGGTATAATTTGATAGAATTCTGGAAAAAATACAATATTATAGTAAATAAATGATGTACAACAGCAATTCAAGAAAGTAATTACTTAAAATATTTATCCGCCTGGGCATTACCAGATCGAGGTTCATTTGCAATAGACCACATAATAACGCTGGCATGATTACGATCTCGATGTATTAGTTGTTCAATCGAGAATTTATGATTTTGTAACAACAATGGTTCAAAAATGCTACAATAATAAGTACATATGCATATTTTATGTTGTAGACAAAACATAATTACTGATATTTTAGTATCTTATAAATAAATTGAAATAAATACTCTGTATTAACGCCAGCACATTCATCTATGACCATTATGCCAAACTCATCAGCGAATTGCATTGATTCCTCCGAATAAGGATAATGTGAGGTACGATAAGCATTTGCTCCAATCCATTTTATCAAATTGAAATCCCTCGTCAGTAAGGCATAGTCAAATCCTTTTCCACGTATCTAAAATCATAAAAGTAAAAAAAGAGAACATTTCGAATTTAGGTCTTACGTCAGAGTCCTCGTGTCTTCCGAAGCCTCGTAAATAAATCGGAGCATCGTTTAAAAGAAATGTTGAATTATTCCATTTTAATGTGCGAATGCCGACTTTCAGACGATATACATCAAGCAGAGATTCATCAACAGCATGCAAATATAATTCCATGGTATATAAATACCCGGGTTCGGGGTTCATCAAATATGGCCACCAGGGCATAACGTCTTTTATTACAATCGTGCCATTTAACGTTGTTTTAGAAACACTATGAGCGACTATTTTACCTTCTTTATTGCGCATTTGCACATGGATATAAAGAGGTTCTATTGGAGGGTCATAAACAACAGCTTTTCTTTCATTTCCATTTACGATTACTTCATAATGAACAAGCCCTATACAGCATCATTTTATTAATACTTATTAGTACCTATGTACGTATGTTCATTATTTAACGCTTACCTATATGATTATCAATCAAATCTGTTGACACCTTAATATCTTCAATGTAAACAGCAGGGGTGGTATAAAGATGAACAGTTCGGTGTATACCAGCGTAGTTGAAGAAATCAAATGTATACCGTTGAATCATAACCTTACCATTATCACTAAAATACTCAAAATAAAATATGTTCCAAAAGATTTTTAATAAACTTCTACTTTATATTACCTTTCTTCTTCAACTATCGTTCCCTGTGGAATTGTTGAATTTACAAGCGTATTGTCGCAAATTAAAGTTAGCCTGTTTTCAGCACCAAAATTAACGTAATTAGTTATTTCTGACTCGAACGGTAAATGCCCAGTAGAATGTGACATTACTTTTTCCCCATTAATCCACTAAACAAGTATATGAAAAAATATAATAAGAAAAAAGAAATAACAAATACTGCAGCGTTTAGTGTTTAAGGTTTAAAATAAAAAAAATGTTTCGATAACAAAACTACCCGCTTATTTTATGCTGGTTAACACATTTAGATTTAATAAAATTACTTTTATAACTTACAACAATAGCTGCATAATGAACGCTTCCAAAACGTAGCCAAATGCGTTGATCCATGTTCCAGGAATGTGGTATAAAAAATTTGGTTTCGTACCACACTGTTCCAATATGATCGCGTAATTTAGTATCGACACTAATATCATTATAACTTGAAGGTACTGGCATGGGATGTGTGGGTCTCACCTTGATCCATACACGTTATATAAAATTTCAAAGTTAACAGTTATCTTCTAAATTGATGTTTACCTTGTCTAAATCAGTTTTGAACCAACAATCGCGCACACCCTTCATGGGATCATTAACGTCTGATGGCAAAAATCGCCAAATGCCATCCAGCGTTCGTACTTCACGCGACTCAGATTCCCGTGGATAAAGGAGACCACGAGTTGAAGCAGTATCATGCAACCACATATAATTGAAAGATTTACCTTTGTTGTCTATATTACTACTTTCGTTTGCTGGTGAATACTGTACTTTCACATCCGTTATTCCGAGCGAATTATCGATACTTCCAAAAATTGAAAATAAAAGGTTCAGAAACCTAATGTACGTTCTCATTATAATCATGCTTATAATATTATATAGTTATACTAGTCAATGATCCTCAACTACTTTTTTATAAATTTAACTTCGGAGATATTCAATTTGCTAGCATCTGAATAAAGCCTTTGTTCTTACAGAATATTTCTTTTGTAAACAAATATCAGCTGATAAGCACAACATACATCTACACATATTTAATTCCTTTTTATACCCTGAACATTGTATATATTTAACAAGATATATTGACGAAATTTGGTATAGATTATTTTCTATTGCAACAATGTAATATTCGAAGAAATTTTTCAGATCGGTTATCTATAGCATATAATTGCCATACAAACTGAACGATCGGAATCAAGTTCTTGTATGGAAAACTTTCACATTTGACAAGATATATTCACGAAATTCGGTACAGATTATTTTCTAAGGCAACAATGAAATCTCAGAAAAAGGGTTCAGATCGGTTAATAGATAGCTGCCATAAAAACTGAATGATCGGAGCTAAATGCTTGCATGGGAAACTTCCTCATTTGCTGACACATATTCACGAAATTTGGTATGAGTTATTGTTCATAGAAATAATGTAATATCGGAAGAAATTATTCATATCGGCTTACTATAGCATATAGGTGCCATACAAACCGAACGATCGGAACCAAGGGCTTGTGTGCAAAACTTTCGCATTTGACGTAGTATCTTCACGAAATTTTACATGGATTACTGCTTAAGGAAATAATATATAGCGGGATTCTGTAACCAGTCTCTAGTCTCTATTTGAGACATTTTGAGGTAAAGTCTCAATTTGTAACTAGTTACTATTCACTAAACAGTCTCTAGCGTTAGTCTCAAAATATTGCCTCAAATTTGAGACCTGATCGTTAGCAGGTCACAAAACTAAAAAGAACTCTTGTCTGCTAATTTGAATATACTGAATAGAGTTCATCATAGATATAAATCGATTGTCGTTTTTTTATATTTTGTAAGCAGCTCAAACACGAAAAGGTGAAAAATAAATCAATTTTATATAAATTTCGTAAATATTATGAAACAAAGTGAATATATATCTATATTTTTTATTGGTAATTATGTTTTTTGACTATGTTATAGAAAATTTAATATTTTTTATCGACATATTTATTTTCATCAACTGTAAAAACATCTCTGAATAAGAAATGTAATAGATTTTGTGACTGTTACAGAATAGCAAAATCGTCTCAAGTCTCAAAAATTGTCTCTAACTTAAAATCTCAAATTTAGAGACTTGAGACTGTATCACAGTACAGAACCGCATGGATAATCTCCGAAATTGTTCAGATCGGATTACTATAGCATATAGCTTTCATACAAACTGAACGAATCTAGTGCTGGTATGGAAAACTGATATTTGCATATTTCAAGTCTGGTTAACTCAAAATATAGTACTTAACACCTCTATAAAAACTTCAGCTGAACTGGATGATACAGTTGAAGGTTTTACAAACTTAATTCATGAAGCTGCTTTTGCTGCTACTCYCYAAAAGAGGAATGAATTCTCGCCTCACAACTCATTTCACGTGTCTACAGAAATTAGAGCATTAATATAGAATAAAAGACGTTTACGAAAAAAATGGCAAACCAGCAGAGATCCAACTGACAAAACTATTCTAAACAAAGCAACAAAGGAGCTAAAAGAAAAATTAGCTGATTTAAAAAATAAATCGATATCTGAATATATTGCGAGTTTAAATTATAGAAATAGTAAAGACCATAAGATATGGAATGCTATTAAATACATAAAACGGCCTAAAAAAAGAAATATACCTATTAAAGACAGTAACAACGTTTGGTGTAGAACAGATAAAAGTAAAGCTAATGCATTTAGTAAATACCTTGAATACCCTTTCACCCTTTTTGATAACAGTGGCAGGAACAATGATGCTGAAATATTAGAATTCCTTGACATAGCATGTCAAATGTCTTTACCACTCAAGCATATTACACCCGCTGAAATACGTTCTGAAATTGAGAAATTGTCTAGCAAGAAAGCCCCAGGATATGACAAAATTGATGCCAAAGTAACTAAATGCTCACCTAAAAAAGGAATTATGTTGCTAACACTTATATATAATTCTATTTTAAGGCTTAACCATTTCCCTACTCAGTGGAAGTGTGCTGAAATTGTGATGGTGCCTAA